TGAACACTGGAAGATCAGAGACAGAACAAGCCACAGCTACCTCACCTCACCAGTTCCTCAGTTGGTCCTGTTTCCTCAGACTGGAAGCCTCTGAGTCCTCATCCAGAATGAATCTCAGCTGAACTGTGCTGCTTCAAAGACTGAAAGCTTAACCGGTCAAATGCTTAACCAGCCACATGCTTAACCAGGCCAAAAGCTTCTAGTTTCTGGTCCTCACGCCTTATATACCTTTATGCTTTCTACCATCACTCCCTAGGATTAAAGGCTTGCTTTCTGGGATTAAAGGCGTGAGTCACCATGCCTGGTTGTTTCCAATGTGGCCTTGAACTCACAGAGATCCCAGATGGATTTCTGCCTCTGGAATGCTAGGATTAAAGGAGTGTGCTATCACTGCCTAACTAGTGGCTTTTCTGTTCTCTGACCCCAGATAAGTTTTTTAAGGTACACAATATTTTGGGGAACACAATACCACCACAGTAGTCCTCAAGCTTGCTCCCTGCTCTCTCTAAACAAATGTCAGAGACTCCCAGTTCTCAGTTAATGAGTTACTGTCTCTCTTTTTTAGATAAGGCAAGTCTGACATCCTTCTAGTTCACTGTAGTGGGTAGCTGTCCCAGCTTTGACCCGGAGGTACTACCCCCATTGAGGTTTCTGGTAACTGTCATACCTATGAGGTGGGGCCGAGACAGTAGTCCTTAAGACCTGAGATCTGGATCGGCCAGCTCTCTTGGTTCCTGGATCCTAGACGCTGGAGGTAGACCCAGCAGAATCCTCCAGAGAACACTACTGGACTGCGCTTCACCTCTCCCAGACTCTTTAGCCTATCCCTTCACTTGTAAGTTACCCCACAAAATAAACCTCCTTTTTAACTACATGGAGTAGCCTTAATACTTCCACCAATAGTACACTGTATGGAAGGGGTTATCTTAGGAACCCTTCAGTGTTCTGACATTCACCTATGCCCTTTTATTGTTCCATCTAGGTTAGATGAGAGTGCAGAGACAGAAGTCTCAAAAGTTCTAAAGTTATCTGTCACCCTCAATACCCTCCATGCCCACCAACAAACAGTATCTCCAATAGTGAAAGCTGGTGAGGTTTGAGCCATCTGAAACATTGGCAAAAGCAATGGGAATATGGAAATGTGACACTTTTCCTAAAGTGTTCAACCCACTCACCTCCAACTTCCATGACAAAGAAAATGGAAATGGCAACCTAGTCCATGCCTTGCATGAATTATTCATAGTGGCCCTTTATACCCTCAAAAAGGACAATCCAGGTGCCACATCATTGTGATATGTAAAAAGCCAGCATCTAAGAATCACTAAGACAGTGGTTCTCAACCTGTGAGCCATGACCCCCAAGGAGGTTGAACAACCCTTTCACAGGGGTCTCCTATGACCCTCAGAAAACACAAATTGTAGTGGGCAGCTGTTCCAGCTTTGACCTGGAAGTACTACCCCTAATGAGGCTTCCGGTAACTGCCATGCCTACCTATGACTTGTCCCTGGAGCAGGTTCGAGACGGGAGTCCTTAAGACCCAGGATCTGGATGTGCCGGCTGTCTTGGTTCCTTGTGATCCTGGATGCTGGATGGTAGATTGAGTGGAGTTCTCAAGAGGACCCTGCAGGACTGTATCTTAACTCTCCTAGATCCTGTAACCAACCCCTTTACTGGCTATAAGTTACCCCAAAATAAACCTCCTTTTAACTATGTGGAGTTGCCTTAATAAATTCCCCAATAACAAATATTTACAATTCATAACATTAGCAAAATTAGAGTTATGAAGTAGCAATGAAAATAATTTTATGGTTGAGGGTCACCACAACATGAGGAACTGTATTAAAGGGTCAGAGCATTGGGAAGGTTGAAAATGGCTGTACTGAGACAATCTTAATAACCCCAATGGAGTGCCACCTCATAGAGCTGAGCTGGGGAACACTTCAGGAACCTGCTTCTCAGACAGGCTAGCTTTGACAGTTCATGGCACCAAATGTGAAATTCGTTCTCCCTTCCTCCCTCCCTCCCTCCCTCCCTCCCTCTCTCTTTCTTTCTTTCTTTCTTTCTTGGTTTTCCGAGTGTAATTTCTCTGTGTAGACCTGGCTGTCTTGAAACTCACTCTATAGACCAGGCT